GGGCGATGAGGTGCGGGGGAGCTTGATCGCGCGAGGTGGCGAAATCGCGCGGCGGCGCCGTAAGCGCCGCGCCGTGGCCGTGGCTTGCGCAGGCTCGCTGCGTGGAGGGCCGTGGCCCGCGGGTGCCGCAGATTGATGACTCACATGATGCCGTGGCTGCAGGTGCGACTGTGGCTGCGCGTGTGCGCGGCCCCACACACTCAAACCCATGCACACGTACATCCACACCCGCGCGTGCGCGCACACACACACACACACATACACACACACACACACACACACACACACACACTCCCTCACACGTGCGCACGTTCCCACGCGCGCTCGCACACATAAAAACACACTCGAGTGAACGCAAGACATTCTCAAGCGCACAGACCCTCTCACTCGCAACAAACCGCGCACGCGCGCGCGCACGCGCGCACGGGCGTGCGCCAACACCCACACCCACCCTCCCGACGCACACATGCAAACAAAAGCAGCACCTCACCTAAGGTCGATGACGTGGATGGTGGTGTGTGTCCCCTCAGCATACACCAGAATGTGCTCCCCCGCAAATCGCAGCGGCAGCACCGGCGCCTCGTGGTCCGAGAACCTGAAGAGAAGCTGCCCGGAAGGCACGCCCCAGACGGCCACGAGCCGTAGGGCGTCGCAGGACGCGGCCAGGAGGGAGGAGGCCGAATTGAAGGCGCAGTACTGCGTGGGTGCCGCGGGTGCAGAGAGGTATAAGCAGGGGGGGCCGGGCGGGGCGGGGCGCGCGTCAGGTGCGTGGGTTAGCGACAGCAGCGGGGCGGCGCGACAGCCGCGGCGACGAGCGGTCCGAAGCAGGGGGACTGTTGCCGCGCTGCAGGCACAGAAGCGCCCGCAGTGGCGTCAGGTGTCCCCGCATCAGCCGACTGGGGCGCAGGGCGCGCCGTCTCCTCGCGGCGTCCCGGGTCCGCAGGCCGCACCTGCACGCCGACGGTGCCGTTCTCATGCATCCCCACGTCGCCCGTCGGGTCCCGAAGGCCCATCGACAGCAGCCGCGGCCGGCCCCGCTCATACCTGCGTCACGAGAGACGGGGAGGGGCGCGGCGGGGGCAGGTTAACACGCTGGGGGGCGTCCTCTCGTTCAAACAAGGGTAGGGGAGGCGTCCAGCATCTCGGGCAAAAAAAAAGGCGGCGGGGGTGCTCAGCAAGAGTGGGGCAAAGCCGCTCAAGGAGGGCCCGGTCGCAGTGCGGCGGCACGGCAAACGGGCGGCACGGGGGGGGGGGCGTTGCCCGCTCGGCTTCCGAATGCAGGGGGCACGCCCGCAGCAAGCTCCCGCCACAGGCCTGCCTTTTCTCACCCGACGCCCGCCGGCACTAGGGGCACTCTCAGATCGTCTCGCCCCACCGCCAGCCAGCGCCCGTCCGGGCTGGGCTGCGCCGTGTTGAGCGGCCGCGGCGCCGCCGCCGCGCCGGCCGGGCCGCCGGGGCCCGCGGGGCGCGCCGGGTGGCCGCCCAGGTGGCGAATGGCGTCGGTCTGCCCCTGCGGAGACGCGTGCACCCTGCGGGCATGCGGGCGCGGGCACGAGCGGCCCCAGGGGCAGGGGCGGGAGCAGGCGTCAGGAGGGCGCGGGCTAGACGCCCGCGGAGCGGGGCAAGGCGGGGCGGCGGCTGCGGCGTTGCTGGGCAAGAGCTGGCTGCGCATCGCTTGGTCTGCATGTCATAAACCTAAAGGCCGACTTGATTTGGACCCTTGGGCAAGCGCTGCGGCAATGGAATCAGGCGAAAAATGAAAGCAATCGCTCGAGCAGCCCCAGTTGCCACCGGCTGCCACTGCAAGCGACGCGGCAGCCGCGAAATGCGGCGAACCACTCACGTTTGGCGCGTCGGCTGCGGCTGGCCTTCGAGCGGCCCCGCCCTGACGACCCGGAACTTCGCGTCTCGTGCCATCGCCGGGCGAAACGCCTGCGCCTCGCGGCGCGCCCTCTCCGCGTGCGCCGCGCGCCGCCGGCGCCGCGCGTCGGCGCCCCCCTCGGGGGGCAGTGTGCGGGGCCGGCGGCCGGCGGCCTCTCCTTCACTCGAGCCGCCATCCACCCTTTCGCTGTCATCATCCCCAGATCCTGACAGGCAGATCTCGTTGTCGATGTCGTCCCAGGAACCGCTGTCTTCTAGATTTCCATAGTCCGATGAAGGGGCGCCCTCCTGCCCGCCTGGCGAGCGCCCGTGCTCCCGTGCGCCGTTGCTGCCAGCCGCGGAACCCGCCCCTCGCCGTCGCGGCCAGCTGGGCAGGCCGCGCGCGGCGAGCGCGGCCGCCGCCTCTTCTAGCAAGGCCCGCATCCGCGGCGCCGCGAGCGAGCCGCGCGCGACGGCCTCGGCGGCGGCCGCGGCGGCGGCAGCACGGGAGGCCGGGGTGCGGGGCGGGGGCAGGTTGAGGATGTACAATAGACCGTCTTGGTGGGCCAGCAGGAGCCTCTCCTGCAGTAAGATGTAGGTTTGACGGGCCAGGCGTGCGCTGGTATCCATCACTGAAGGGCAAACAGCCATGCGGCGGCTCTGAAGCGACCAAGGCGCAAGCGTGCTCGCCCGGGCGCGCCCGCATGCAAGGGTGCGCGGCCGACTACTGGGGCGCAGCGGCGCCTGTGAGCTGCAGCGCGGGCCGCGGCAATCGCCGCACCTTGCCGCCAAACATGCCGAATCGGACGCAATTGGCCATGCTCTCGCGGCCGCTCTTCGCTTGGACCGTCGCATAATGCTCCAGCCGCGCCGTCCCCCAGCGCCCTGCATCGCCGGCACCGGCGTCCCCGCCGCCGCCCTTGCCGCCGCCGGCGCCGCTGCCGCTGGCGGCCCCGCCCTTGGCGCCACCTTCGCTGGCCGCCGCGGCCTCCCACGCGTGCGCGGCCCCGCCTTCCGCTGCCCCGTGCGCCGCAGCTGCTGTCGCGGGCGGCGGCGGGGTGCGCTCCAGATGGAAGATCGCCACGAGGGAGCCGGTGGGTGTGCAGGCCGCCACCAGGGATCCATCCCTAGAGACTGCGATGCTGTTAGTGTGTGCGTGTGGATAGATGGTGGGTGCAAGATGTGTGTGTGTGTGTGTGTGTGTGTTTGTGTGTGTGTGTGTTTGTGTGTGCGTTTGCGAGTGTGTGCCGCAAATACAGAGATGAGAAGAGGGGGGACACAGGCCAGGGGGAAGATTGCGCCGCCAAGGAGGTGGATGTTGGTGCAACAGGCGGGGCGCTGCGCATTGTGGGGCAAGGAGAGGGGGCAGGGCTGGGGCCCGGGGGCAGGGGCCGGGTGGGAGAGCAGGCCACCTGTAAGTTGACGGGAAGCAGGTTGTTGCCTCCGCCAGCAGCTTGGCCTAGGGGAGACGGCGTCAGGGGGGCGAGACAGCATGGCGCGACACACATGCAAGAGTTGCTGCCGGTCAGCCGAGACAGCATCGCGCTTGCCGCCAGAAAACTCTGCTATGCACGGAAGAGATGTGGTTAAAAGCACCAGTGACGCATTCATGTGTGCGCGCGCACGCACCCACGCACGCGCGCACGCGCGCACGCGCGCACACACACACACACACACACACACACACACACACACACACACACAAACGCACAAAATGCACAAACCCTGTGTCTCTATCAAAAACACGGCCTGCCCTTTGAGACTGCACAAACAGCCAATGCAACCGCCTCACCCCGTCTGGCGCCGCCCCTAGCCGCCACAGCGCCAGCCGCGGCCCGCACGCCACCACTATATCCTCCACGACCCCCTCCGCGCCCCCATCCCCGGCTGCGCCCCCGGAACCCCCGCCGCCCGCCGCGCCCGGCACAAACGCGAGCGCGTCGGCTGTCTGGTGGTGGTACGTCCGCGCGCGCACGCCGACGTGTGCGACGGGCTGCGGGCGCAGCAGGGTCACGTCATGCTGACGCAGCGCCGAGTGCATGGCGGCGGGCGCCAGGCCGGCGGCGCGGGCCAGCTGCTCGTAAACAGCCTCGTCGTCATCTGACGCCGACCACGACTCATAATCGTCCCCATCCCCGTGCTCGTCCTCTTCCTCGTCATCCTCCATGCCGAGGATGACGCCTGGGGACCCGGGCTCGCTGCCAGAGTCGTCCTCGTCCTGGTCAGCGTCGCTGCCGTCGCTGCCACCGCCATCGCTGCCGCCCTCGCCGTCCCCGTTGCTGCCGCTGCCGTCACCATCGCTGTCGCCGTCACTGCCGCCGGCGTCGCCGCCCTGCAGCTGGCCCATCACCTGGTCTATCGCATCCTGCATGGCGGCCTCCAGATCCTCCTGCGTGCAGCATGCGCATGCGGGGCAACGGGGCACAACTGGCAGGGCGTTGGGCCGGGCGAGGGGTAGCTGCATGCCCTGGCAGGGCCGGCAAAAAGCGTGCATAGCGGAGGCAGGCGCGGCGTCGCCACGCATGTGCAACGCGCCTGACCGAGTTCGTCCTCATCGGTCGTGCTCTCCACTGCCTCCTCGAGCGCGAGAGCGTCCGAGTCTGTTTCGGAGAGGTCGACTTCCATGGCGGGATCCGGGCGGCTGCTGCTGCGGCGTGGCACCGCGCTCGCGCTGTTCTGTTCGCAGTTGTCGCTGGTGTAGTTGCCGCCGCTAGCGGCTGACCAGCGTCTGCACGCGCGTGATCGAAAAAACTGTGCAGATTACATTACAGGGTACTACAAGCTGCACAACGTCTGGCGATCTGCTGAAATCAGAAGCAGCGTGGTACCGTACCCACGCTACACGTGTCTCTTCATGAATTTGACCGCGATTCTTAATCAAATGCTCTCATACGCGCCGCAGCGCTCGGTATTCAGTAGCCGCCAACGTCCAATCGGCAGCGTCACCCAGCACTGTCATCACCCGGGGTGGAGGAGGCCACACCACAAACTCACTCTGCAGACGTGCAAGAACATTTACAGGTGATCCAGGACCATGTGAAACCTCGTGGCAGGCTCTCGTTGCGGTCTTGGCTGTCCATGGTCAGCATGAGCCCCACACAAGCGGGCGTCTTCGTCTGACAGCCCGTTCGGGGCTGTGCATTCTTGATTCTTGCCAATCCCTTCGTAACAGGTTGACCAGCTTCCATGCATGCTCTTCCCTCTGCACGTTGCATGAAAGGTGGACAGGGGCCTCGTGTCATGCGGGTCAAACGACTGTCGCAAAGTTGATGGCACAAACGCGTGCAGTGCAGGATGCAGTGACATTGCCTTGCGAGAGGCAGTGTGTTTTTTTAACAAGCGTCCCCTGCAGCCTGCCCATAGACATGCGTGAGCGGTCGTTGCAGCATGCGCCCCCTGGTGCGTGGTGCCTTGGCCCCCAACAAACGATCTGCACCTTGTCATTATGAGCGAGACGGAGGGATTCATAAAGTAGCATACGACAAATTACGAGCTGCTCGACTAACGGGTGTGTTGGTGAGTACGGTGGCCTGGCCTCGCAGCGGCTTTCGCCTCAGCCGCTGTGGAACACCGCCAGCGATTTCCCACCCTGAGGCCATGTCACTCGATTTGTTGCCGCTGAAACCTTCATTGTAAGATATTTTACATGCTGATTGTCGGCAGAAGAGGCTCGTGCTAGCGTGCCGCGGCCCCCATCTGCAGAGTGGGGCAGGGATGGGGCGTTCCAGGCCATACAAGCAGCGGCTACGTATTTATGTAGCCTTGATTATCTCAGCTCTGGCCGTGCAGCTGGGCCAGGCCTCGGCGCGGGTCTGCATCGTGGACCTCGAAATCAAGGGTTCCGCCCTGACCCTGGGAGGCCACGTGCACGAGCCTGTGGAAGCGAAGCTGGTTCCATATGGCGCGGCTGAGGCCTCGGGTGTCGTGTCTGTGGCGCTGTCGTCTGCAGGTGCGCGGCCCGAGGGTGCGGTGGGCCATCGCCTGGCGACTTGGCTGGGTTGGGCGGTGATGCTTTGCATCAGTCTACCCGTGCACCACGCACCATCATACCCAAAAAGATTTGCAGGGCCGTGAAGACTGTTTGGGAGTGCCAGCAAGCGTGTGTGATTGGCGCCCATTTGCCGAACCAGCAGAGGGCCAGGCCTGGCACTCAGGTGGCCGTCCGAGTGACATCAGACTGCCGACCATCAGAGCCTTCAACCTCTCTGTGAACGCACGGCCGACAATCCTTCACCGCCCTTCGTGTGTCCCTGTTCCGCGTTGTAGGAGAGTCGTGCCCCCCGGCTGCGGGCGATCTCCGGGCAGCCCTGGCCGGCGCCGTGCTGGTGGCCCCGGCCGGCGGCAGGGGCGTCGCGTTTGGGTCGCTGCGGACCAGCGGCCCTGCCGCAGGGGCGTCGGGCGTGGCAGTCCGCGGCCTAAAGGTGAGGGCCAGGCGCCGCGTGTGTGCGCGCGTGCAGCTCGCCGCGAGTGCTCATCGTAAACGCGCATGCAGGTGGCCACGAAGGGACGTGCCCTTTTGGCTGTTGCATGGGGCAGCCATCAGGCAGCGAGTGCGCCTCCTAGCAGCAGCAAGGATACAAGCGCCACAGGCAGCTGGACCCAGACGCTCCCCCGACGGCAGTGGACCCACATGCGCCGACACGCCCACCTCCACAACCCCCCAAAACTGCAAGGGCGCCCTGATGTCCTCCGCGCGCGGCCCCGCCGAGCCGCTGGCCTTGTCGCTGAGCCCACGGTCGGGCGCCGCGACGCTGGCGTCGGCCGCCGCCGCTGAGCCGCTTGATGGCACGTCGTTCAAGGGCGCCGGCTGCGCGCTGCGGGCGTCCGGCGGCCAGCTGCGGCTGGACTGCCGCGAACTGAAGCTGGAGGGCCGCCTGGTCGGGGAGGGGCAGATCTCCGCGCTTCTACAGATCTCGGGATCTCTGACAGCCGCCGGCAAGCTGGCCGATGCCAAGGCGGCACCCTCTGACCTGCCACCGCCACTGCAGAGCCAGGCGACGCGCCGGCGCGCCCTCCTTGCAGAGGCGCCGCCGCCCGCCCTCGGCGCCCGTGGCTGCGCCGCCGGCGCCGCCGTCGCAGCCAACGGCTCGTGCGCGTGCGCCGCAGGCTGGGGCGGCCGGGACTGCTCGGTCTGCCGGGAAAACTCGGTCTGCCCGGGGTTCACAGGGCAGCCCAACAGCACCTGCGACGCCAATCTCACCTATGGCCCGACGACCTCGTACAAGGCGTATGACTGCGACCTGATCGGCGGCCTCAGCAAATGGGTGACGGGCGTTGCGGCGCTGTGCAACGTGCGTGGCGAGCGGCTGCCGTTTGGCTACGGGCCCCTTGGCCTCAAGGTGAGCAGCACGCGCAAGTCGCGTCGGAGCGGCAGCCGAGCCATGAGCGTCGCGGCCAAGTGCGCCGGCGCAAACGGCAGGCTCTCCACGGCGGCCGCCATGGGCTTCACAAGCCACCTGGATGTGCACTGTGTCCCACCCAACTCTCAGGCGCCCCGGGCACCTGAAGTTGTTTTTGGGGACGACTCAATCCCTTCACTCCCTCCATTTGCCCCCCTCCCCCTTGCGGCCCATCCGCAGCCTGGCGGCCTGCTGACAGACCTCTCGGCTGGCCCAGCTGCCAACAGCTTCTGCAAGATCGAGGTCGGCCTAGTCAGCGCGCCCGAACGCCCCCTGGTCTGCGTCGCGTCAAAGTGCACGTTCGCCGTCGGCGCGTCAGGCTTCCTGTGCGCAACGACGGCGTGCAGCTGCGGCGACGGCAAATGCCCGTCGCTCATCCAGAGTGTCGTGGACAACTTGGCAAACTCGACGATCGGTTTGACCTGCGACGCCAGCGGCGACGGCAAGTGCGTCCTCGACGGCGTCACGCCGCGCTTCAGCCTGCAGTGCCGCACCGGCGAGTGCACGCAGCCGCAGGAAGCCGCGCGGAAGCTGCCCGACGCAACGGACGCTGGAGTGTTTGCGCAGGCGCAGGCGCAGGCTCAGCGCGCGTTCCCGGCCATTGCTCTCGTGTCGGCGCTGCCCATCGTGCTGCTCCTCGCCATCGGCGCGCTTTTCCTGTCCCACGTGCTCGCGGCCCGGCGCCTCTTCGCCGCCGGCGCAGCGCCCGCCGCGCCGGCCGCGGGCCTGGCGGAGGCCTCTGCGGGGGACGGCAAGGCCGTGACACTCCTGGCGCCGCAGCCGAGCTTCGCGCTACCAACGGGGGACCCCGACCCCGCGACCGCGTTTGTATTCGATAACATTGTCTGCTCGGTCCCCGACCGCGACGCCGCCCCCGGCGCCACAGCGACCGGCGCGGCCGCCGCC